TACCGCTCCGGAGCGGTGTTCAAGATAGTGTGGATTTAGTGTGCGTTAAAGGGCACTGCGCTTTGGCATTTTTAAGATCTGGGACATCACGAATACGTGCTCTCAAGTGGCCAAGACCGCAAGTGTGGGTATTTGGACAAGGCATTTTTTTCCCCACTTTTCCATCCAACACACCAAACGAAAAATGTAAAACAATTTAATAAAAAATATATATATTTAGTTAATTTACAGTATATATTAGGTGAAAACCACCCAAATCTCTTACTTTGGCTAAATCTAGAAGTGAACAGGAACTAGCAGACACTTGCTAAAAGTATCTTGTCAGAATGACATGTTCAGCTAAATATTTCATTGTGTCATTTTTGTGAACCAACTCAGTGGCAGCGTCATGTCTCTGACCTTCTCAGATTTCATACCCCACCATCCATTTCACATCCCATCTGTGTCATCCACCCCGCTTCCTAATGCATTCTCCCGGTCTGGATGCTGCCGGGAATCCCTCCCCACCCCCGCCCCCTACCCTACAGAAACCAAGATTTACACTCTCAATGTGCTGAACAGCTCTCTGATGAATGAGTCTAGACTGAGACCTCTGAGAGCTTCTCCCTCATGTTTACTTTGCTTTTATACAGGACACGTTATTTACACGGACACTTAATGTGCATTGCTAATCATCTCCCGACTATAGAAGCTTCCTGATTGGTTGGGCTAGTTGTGGCTTGAGGGATGAGAGCGCTGGTGGAGAGACTGGGGCAGCTTCGAGGGTTTTCCTTCATCTCAGAGGATCTGGTTGAACTTCGCAAGGGGGCAGGGGGGTGAACGGATGGTTGGAAGAGGCTTTTATGTGCTGCGTTTCATGTTTCACTTTGTGTCTCTTTCCCAGCATGCATCATTCCTGCTTAACGGGTTCTGCCGCTCGGCTGTCCTCCTGCAATCCCACCCACACACTTCAGCCTTTTAATAGAGCATGCCAGCGAGAGCGAATAATCACCCTCTCTAATTTACTCAGGATGACAGGTTCTCGTAAAAACCTCCAACAACAGAGCATTTCCCGTGCCTCTTTATTGCCGCCAGGCGAACAGTTTAATTCAACTGCGAAGATTGAGATCTCCGTGTAAAGGGGAGATAAGGGACTCACACCCATGTTTGCAGCGGCGCGACTATGCAAACAGCATGACGAGAGCGATAAACAGCATTGAGGCGGTTAAATGGATTGTAAAATGAGAGGTCATACAGCTGTCAGTCGAGGAATCGCTGCTCGCCACCAGTAACCCTCTAATGAGAGATGATATCGCTCACCCTGGACAATACAAGCAATGCTCTCTCTAGCTTGCGCTCTGCTGTAAAATCATGTTCATGCTCAATTGAAATTGCCAGTCCTGCATTGTAATCCTGGTGGGAAAGAATTGGGGAAAGAAAAAAAAACTTTTAGCTTTTTATTCCAAAAGAATAGACAGATGAATCCTCTTCCTGCAGGGTTTTTTGGGTAAAACAATGCACAGTTTGATCCCTTGATCCATGGGCACAGTTAGGTCTGGTAAATCTAGGCACCCAGAGGGAAAATGTTATATTCATGTGAGCCTGCCAGGAGAGAGTAGAGAGAAATAACCCCAGATAAGCAAAAGAGTGTTAGTTGCCGCTTTAAAGGATTTATGTGCAGGATTGAACAGATAGCAAGCTCCTTAGTCAGGAAAAGTGTGCTGTGTCAGGGTTCTGTGCTTCACTTTCTAAATTAAAGCATAAACTTAGTTTTGTACAAATATGATACTGTATCAGTTTGAAATTTAACCCTATAAAGACTGACATGAAATATTAGGCTAGAAAATCTTTTTTTTTTAAGTTTAGTTCACCTTTAGACAAAATCTAAAAGACATTTTTGAGTATCATATCTGAAACATCAGGATTATGTTTTTGATTTTTTATTATTTTTAGTATGATGTAGGAGAATATGGAGCTCTTTCTCAAGAAGGAAAAAACCTTAGTTTTATTCAGTATGCATTTTGGTGCAGTTGCTGATATTTATATGGTAAGATGTAATTCTGATAGCTTGTAATGTAAATCGTGATCTTTATAACAGACCACATGCATAAAATGCACATAAATATAATAATTTATTGATTAAAGCTCTGTGGTTAATATTATTGGGGGCAAAACATAATGCAGTGCAATACATAAATGATTGAGATGTGAAAATAACCGTTCCAAAAGCCTGATGTAACATTTAATACTCACATTTTAACATTTTTCTCAAAAATGCTGTATGGATAATCATGTAAGTGCATGCAAGTGTTTATCTTGAAACATTACTAATGATATAAAAGTTATTCTTATGTTTTTTTTATAAAAATAACAGCAAAAAAGACACATTGACATTTTTAGAATTAGAATGAAAGAGCTTTTACTTAATGAAAAAGTATAAATATCAGACAACAGAAGGCATGTAGAAAATTGTGTATAGCAGGTAAGAAAGAAAGGTAGTAAGGACATTGTTAAAATAGTCAATGTGACATCAGTGGCTCAACCGTAATTTTCAACTGTTTGATTTCTTTTAATATTGAAAAACACACACTGCACCTTTAGTGTGTTTGCATGCATGTTTTTTGGTCTGGTCTCTTCCTCCTCTCTCATTTCTCTCTAAAGTGAGTCTCTTGCTGAAGTCATGTTCCTTTGTGTCCGGTTCATGACACAGCCATAAAGGCACTGTAAGGCTAACGAGGGCTCTCGCAGTGAAAATCAGGAAAACACCACTTAAAGGGGTCATATGATATTGCTAAAAAGAATATTATTTGGTGTATTTGGTGTGATGAAATGTGTTTATGCGGTTTAAGGTTCAAAAAACATTATTTTCCACATACTGTACATTATTGTTTCTCCTCTATGCCCCACCTTTCAGAAATTCGTCGATTTTTACAAAGCTCATCAGTCTGAAAAGCGAGGTGTTCTCTGATTGGCCAGCTATTCTCAGTGCATTGTGATTGGCCGAATAACTCAAAGTTGTGACGGAAATGTTGCACCCCTTACCATATTTCTAGTCGTGTCCATTTTTGGAAGACCAAACAAAGTAGTTTCGCTTTCACAACGAAACACACGGCAGGCAATAAAGTGAGCGGAGGCCGGAGGCCTGCTTGAGTGAGCGAAGGCGGGCGGGCTTGAGTGAGTGGAGGCGGGTGGGCTTGAGAACGGCGCGGCCAGCGGGCTTGCGGCAACCACATGTGACGACCCCGGGCTGGACTCTGCTTCGTCGATAGTGAAAGTCGATCCGGCGATCCACAGCGCGAAGTTGATGTATTTCCTCAGCGACCAGCACGCATCAGCTCCAGGCATGATGAAGCGGATATCATCCTCGTTTGGAAGGCCAAAAACAGTTTTGCTTTCACAACAAAACACACAGCGCCTTCACGACATGGCGGCGGCGGCAACAACAATACTACAGCGAGAATAAAAGTTATGCCTTATTTCTTTGCGTGAACATTACGTTATGCAAATCTTCCCACATCGTAACGTAGACATGTGGGGGGGTGTTAGAACGAGCCGTTTTATGTAGGCGTGGTTGACTCTTAACTTTTATGAAGAATATCTTTGGATTATGAAATCTCTTTGGATTTGAGACTTTAGTCTTTGCAACTTTACAGATCTTCTTTATGCACCAAGAGCTTGTAACACTCCAAAGAGAAAGGAAAAATTGAAATCGCATCATATGACCCCTTTAAGACATCACACAGGGCTTCCTCTGTTACCGTGACAACCCAGACCGAATGAGTATACATGCTTTTCTTGTAACAAGCTGTACTGTTTGTTTCAATTTTCTTGCCAAGGTGACATGAAATTGTATTTATGACTTATTTAATGTATGTAACGAAATGTATTTGTACTGTAGCATTCAGTGGGAAATTGATCTTTATCCATATGGATTTGATTGGATTGTGGATGTTATGTGATATTATTTATCCCTACCCACACAGTCTTGGTATCATCAACAGAAAAGACAAGTAGATGAGTAACATGCATGAAAATGATTTCATGTAGTTTTTAAGGCTAAACAATAAATCAGACATCTGATTTATCATGAACACTGGATATATGGTGAACTTGAATGTTGTGTTGTAGTTGTATGTGGGTTGAATGTGTAATTTAGGGGAACAGGTGTCCATGGGTGTAGTGAATTACTCTTTCGCTCTTCACTATACATCACACAGAGAGATGCAAGGGGTCAGAGGTCTTCCTGAGTCATTATGTCTCTCTCTTTGTTGTCAACGTGTGTAGATTCTTCAAAAGTAATACCTTATGCTCTTAAAAAAGAACCTTTGGAAAAGTATTGCACATAATAATAAATTATTTGAGCTCCATTTGTTAATGTTAAGTTGCAAATTAAGTTTTTGTTTACAAAATGTAAATTGTAACCCAGTGACATTTTAAGTTCAGTCTTCTTATGGAAATAAAATTAACAGTGTATTATATTTTCCAATGTTTGTGTTTTAATTGCTTTGTTGGGCCATAATAGTAATGTCAATTTCAGTTATAGTCTTTTTTTCAACAAACCATACTGATGGATTAAATCCACTGAACTGATGTGCAACCACAGAACCCACAGACTTGTTTGTTAATGAATCTGACTTTTCTAGTTTATATTCAAAGGCAATATTTGGTGCATGGTCTGTATTAACTTAAGTAGATGCGAGCAGTTGTATCTGATTAATATCTTCTTGTAATAGATGCCTAAAAGCTTTTACCTGACTCTGGCTTATTTATAGAGAGAGAGACAACTTTGACAGCCAAATGCCTCAGGCATCCTTCCTTTACTAAAGTCAGCAGAGTGGAAGAGACAGACAGCTGCACTGTAAAACATGCTTAAATATCAAACATTTATCTTAACTTTCATGGTCTAAATTTTAACATAAATGCATATAATGCATTTGAAATCTGGAATTTAAGATTTGTTGTTTGAAGCTCAAAGAACTGGTTTTATAACTCCCTCTGGCTTTGAGGAGTGAGTATAAAGGATGGAGGCTGTGAATGTTGATGTGGATTTTGGGACGTGGTGGATTAGTGCCCAATGCAGAATATGAAAATAAACACAGATGTACATCTTTGTTTTTTGTCTATTTCAGTCACAGATGAAGACACCGTCAAACGATACTATGCCAAGTTTGAGGAGAAGTTCTTTCAGACGTGTGAAAAGGAGCTTTCCAAGATCAACACATTCTATTCAGGTATTGTTTTCCCTACAAGTCTTCAAAAATGTTGAAGAAAAAAAATGGGTAGTAACTGGTTACATGTAATCTGGATTACGTAATCAGATTCCAAAAATGAAGTACCTATAATCAGATTAAATTAGATTTTAAAATAATCTGAATCAGACTACAGTTAGGTCAAGCAAGTTAGGTCAAAGGTAATCAAAAAGTAGTCTGATTATATTACCTAAAATGTGGAATGTAATGGATTGTGTTACTAACTACAGTTTTTGTCATGTAATTTGGAATCAGTCATTATTTTCATATAGTGTTATTTATTTAATATGAAATTCTAATGATCATCATTTTTTCCCCATTGACTTGTTGGACAATTTCAAGACAAACTGACAACAAGACAAACTTTGCTGTCATCCGTTCAAAACTGCTGAAAATTCTACCATTTTAAGATGAGTGCTGTTTATATCTCCCCTACTGCAATACTCAACTGTTTTATTTAAGATATTTTGGGATAAAAACAAATCTGTGGTTCTATTATGTGTCACACCACAGGACACAGAGGTGTAAAGTTACGAATTACATTTATTCGCGTTACTGTAATTGAGTAGCTTTTTTGCGTACTTCTACTTTTTAAAGTAATTTTTAAAATCTGTAATTTTACTTTTATGTATTATAAGTATTGTACTTTGCTACATTTTAAAACACATTAATTACTGAGTAAAAAAAATCGCTCCCTTGAAACTACTGCAGTAAATAATGGGCAGGAGAACAAACTGGTGCTTAAATCACAAGAAAGATGGACGGACAAGACAGTCATTAGTGGTGCAGACCCAGCTGAAAACGAAACCCCTTCGTATTCTGCTGAAGTTGAACTCGAAGGAAATGAAGTGAAACCATGGCCATATTTAAGCTCTATTATGCAGTGTAAGCTGTGTTCGCCTTGGGAGACCAAACTAGCAGCTTATAAAATCTCGACATCAACCCTTCGCAAGGATGCAGTAGAGGTAAGCTAAATATTCCATCGTTGCACTGGTGGTTAAAATGAAGCTTTGACAGTTTAGCAAAAGGTTTTGTTAAACTGTCAAATTAGCCAAAAAGACAGTGGTGCAGGGTGTGCGATATATCGTCTGCGATAATATCGTAATTGTTGTTTTAACGATGTGCGATTTGACATTATCAGTATTTTGCCAAAAAGCAAACAAAACATTCCTACAGAGTGCCGTGAAGTCTAGCAGATTTGACTAGTGCGCGCACACATTTAGAGTGTGTTCTTTCAACGCGATTCATTCTGCTAAAATGCATTTAGAATGATCACAAAATTGAAGATATAGGGGCAGAAAATGTATATATTTATATCATTTCATATAGTTTTAGACACCTTGAGTTTTAGACACCATATTGCCTGTTTTTGCTCTATTTCAACAACAAAAATAATTCCAAACAGCCACCATAGGACAGGTTTGTGTCTCTGAGCAATGAGGTGTTTATTTCCTGAATGAATCAACCATTTAAATGATTCGGTTCAATCGCAATGACTCCCTTATTAACAGTGACTTGCTGACACCTACTGGCTTTTGATTTATTTGTATTTTTTTATCATTTCAAACGAGTATTCAACATTTTATGTAGTATATATCAAAACATTATTTGTGCATTTGTAACTGCAGGTTAAATGCATTCATGCCCTGCATCAAACGGTGTATGCCACTTCAGATGAAACTTCTGTGTTTCCTCTGATTTGCAAAGATGAATTTTGTTGATACTGATTTAATTTGCCTGGTAACAGCCCAAATGTCTTATTATTCTAAATAACTGATTCTTTTAATTAAAAACAACTAGTTTGACACCCCTGGGATAGGCCTATAAATCTCAAACTCAGTTTCTGGAGGGCCGCAGCCCTGCAGAGTTTGGTTCCAAGTTCCAACCCTGCTCCAAAACACATACAATGTAGTTTTCAAATAAGTCTAAATGATTAGATTAGCTGGATTAGATGTGTTTAATTAGGGTTATATCTAAACTGTGCAGGGCTGTGGCCCTCCAGGAACGGAGCTTGACACCCTTTCCTATCCCATTTTTGCCTCCCTCCCACTTTTAAAATGTAACTAAGTAATTTTTTCCTATGAGTAAATTTTAAATGAGCTACTTTTTACTTTTACTTGAGTAGATTTTTAGACTGGTACTTTTATTTGTACTTAAGTAAAATCTCATTAATGTAATGGTACTTTTACTTGAGTAGATTTTTAGACTGGTACTTTTATTTGTACTTAAGTAAAATCTCATTAATGTAATGGTACTTTTACTTGAGTAGATTTTTAGACTGGTACTTTTATTTGTACTTAAGTAAAATCTCATTAATGTAATGGTACTTTTACTTGAGTAGATTTTTAGACTGGTACTTTTATTTGTACTTAAGTAAAATCTCATTAATGTAATGGTACTTTTACTTGAGTAGAATATTTTCGTACTCTTTCCACCTCTGATAGGACATTACGTCACACAAAATGACAGTGACAATGACAATTATCAAAGTATTTCTATTTAATTTTGAACATGTCAAAGGAGAAAGAAAGTTTAATTTTGATACAAACAACATCAACATGTTTTTTAAACAAAACAAAATAATTTTCATCAACAAAATTCAATCTCTTACGCAATCAGTATGTTACTGAAACTCTTCTAGCCACCCTGCTGCATGTGCGGCACAGCTTAATATGATTGATATTCATTAAGATGTGGATGGATTTTTTAAAACTATATGGCTACTCTTTTTAAGGCATCATTTTGTTTCCATTTACTTTCTGCATCGTTCTCTTAGGATCTCCTCCCTTTTAGTGTCCTCTCTTTTCCACTAATTTTCCATGATTATGTAGTTTAACATGCAGTTTTTAATTAAAAAATATAATTTAGGGGTGTCACACCAAAGGACAACAAAACTTAACACTTTTGTAGTGGTTCCAAAAAGGTTAAATATTTGAACAATTCTGAGACAAAAATGTACCATGTGCACATTTCATGGGCTTAACAGGGGCTTCAGTAGTCTCAGCCTCAGACTAGATTTTCAAAAGTATGTGAACATTAAGTTTGCGCCATAGAATCTTTAAAATATGTCAGAGAGTTTTACACACCGGTGTGTTATTGTAGCGACATTTCCACGCCCCGAAAAGTGACGATGAATGAAATGAACTGTGATTGGTTGTTTGACATGTCGGTGGACGGGCCTTGGCCAATGAAACTTGCCATGGATTCCAGACCTTCAGACGTCAGTGGCTACGCGAGAATAGGGCTTCAGTAACACGACCACGAATGACACCATGTCCACCAGAGGACATGGTTTTTAGAGACAAAATGTATCAAGTTCCTGTGTTTTCAGAAATATATGGATGAAAAAAATGATTGCCATTTACTAAAATAGACACTTGTACAATTTAATACATTTTAAAAAAAATTAATAAAAATAAAAAAATGTATGCTTTTCTTTTTAATTTATAAAAGTTGTAATTTATTGAATGCTTGAGACAGTCACACCATAGGACAATTTTGAGATTTGGCTCAACATTTGTAAAAATCAAATAACACTGCTGCTTTTATAACAAAGGGTCCATGCAAGACAAAGAAATGTTTAACGATTTACTGCATTTTAAATAATGACAATATTAATTATATTCATTTTTATCTTGTGGGACAGTGAAAACGCCATGTCACATCAACAACCCATGTAGATAGTAGGGGTGACCCCGAATAGTCGAAGATTCGATGCTTCGGTAGGAGGAGCCTGATTCAACTACCAATCTCACAGTCAAATATTCGCGAGGTGTTATGAGCATGCCGTTTTGGCTATATGTGGGTGCTCAAAAGTCTGATTTCACATAGAACTACCGGTTTTCTCCCAATAAGTTAATATACATCCTATTAAAATAATGCTGTAAATAAGAATCTGAAAAGAAAGAAGCTTCAAATAAATATTTTAACGTGCGTGAATAAATCCAACCACCCCTATAGATTTAAAGGGCTCATATGATGCAATTTCAAGTTTTCCTTTCTCTTTGGAGTGTTACAAGCTGATTGTGCATTGATAAGATCCCTGAAGTTGCAAAGACTAAAGTCTCAAAACCAAAGAGATATTCTTTATCAAAGTTAAGACTCTACCATGCCCCCATATACATCTACCTCACTATGTGGAAATATTTGCATAATGCGCCCAAATGTTCACGCAAAGAAAGAAGGCGTGGTTTCAGTAACCGCAGTTAGTGTTGAAACAGCCATGTCAGGGAGACGCTGTGTGTTTCTAGGCGAAAGCAAAAGCACTTTATTTGGCCTTCCGAAAGTAGATGCATTTAGGAATCTTTAAGATTACTTGCAACAGAAGAGCAATGCATTTTATGGACGACCGTTTCGTGAACCTAGGAGAGGAGGTAATTCTGACTTTGCTATGACAATCTGGCGCTTCTGAATCAGCTACTGTTTTGTTATTAGTTTAAGTATTTGCTATTGACTGTTCAAATGCGGAGTTTTGCGCATCGTGTGTGTGTGTGTGTGTGTGTGAGTGAGAGAGTGAGAGAGAGTGAGAGCGAGAGAGAGAGAGAGAGCGAGAGAGCGAGAGAGAGAGCGAGACATCACAGTGGAGTCAGCCCTCTTAGCCGTGGCTTGTGTACTGCAAACACATACCAGCTTCATCACTGTGTCTGTCAC